AGTAACCTTAGAAGGAAGAGTTTATAAATTAAGTAAGCTTCGCTACTACCCCTATATCGTATATTAGTACCCTTAAGCCCTATACTAGAGAGTAGGGGGGGGGGTAGCTTAGACTAGCGAATATACTCTTTTACTTACTAAAAATAGAGAACCTATCTTAAAAGATAGATAGATCCTCGATATAGGATCTAGTACCTATATCTATAATAATAGAGACCTTTTTATCGACTTTATACTCTAGATTTCGGATCTTACGATAGGAGATAGTACTACCTAGGTACTAGGAAAGGGAAAGGTTAGACTAGTAGGTAGATATCTAGTAAAAAATAAAATAGAGATTATACTTAGTAATACCCTCTATTCTCTTAGTTTCTATATAAATCTAATATCCTATTCTATACTAAAAAAGAAGGGCGGGATATAGTACTAGTATATAAACTATATTAGAGACCCTAATAATAGACTAGTTATCTACGTTAACCTTTAGGACTAGTTTAATCTCTAGATCTTTAATTAACCCGGAGAACTTATATAGCCCTAGTAAGCCTATTTTATAGAGAGAAAGTCTATAAAACCTTAATAATTAAGAGCCTTATTAGATATCTAGTACCGACGGCTTACCTATATTAACTAGCGAAGCGCTATAAAACTCGCTACTATAGTAGATAGAGTTATTTTTAACGATAAAGAAAAGGAGTCTACTAAAATATAGGTATTATACTAGACTTATTAGTTAGATCGTATACTAAGATAAATATTAAGATATATAGTTAGACGTACTTTCGGACGATTTAGAAGAGTATACTTTAATCTTATTTAGCTACCGCTAGTAAAGAATAAGTATCGCTAGATCTCTTATTTTTACCTAGAAGGTCCTAGGTTTTATTAGCTAATAACCTATAAAATAAAGCCTAAGTATTAGCTAGCGATTAATTATTTTATAGAACTAATAAGGAACTAATAGGATCTACTAATTAAAGCCTTCTAGTACGATAATAAGTCCTTAGCTAGAAAACCTACGGAATATAGCCTTACTTCTAACGGTATCCTTATATATTATAACCCCCTAGGGCACTCCGAAATAAATAGTTATACCGAAAGATCTAGTAGTATAATTATTACTTATATATATATACTTATACTTAAAGGAAAGCTCCTAAAAGATCTATAGCTAGAGGCCGCTAACGCTATAGTATAGTTACTAAATCGTACGCCGACGTATATTACTACCGAAAACCGCTAGGTTATACTATAGAAGGAGGTACGGAAGGAGTTTATACCGTAGGCGCTAAGAATTAACCTATTAAATATTAAACTATATAGAAGTTTAGTATACTATAGGATCGATAAATAAGTCTAGTCTAATAAAATAAACCTACGAGCTAAGATCGGATTCTTAGTTAGTTATATAGTATTAAATATCTAGAAAATCTAGTTTCTATATAATAGGAAAGTGAAGCCTATTAGGGATAGAGTATTTAATAAAACTCGTAAATATACCCCTAATTATAATAGATATTAGCTTATTCTAATACTAATATAGTAAGAACCTTAGGAAATTACTATAGAAGAGTTCACCTAGGTACTAAATCGCGTAATAGCTAGTTAAGAGACTAGCGAAATAGAAGAGAGAGATTATCGAGATCTATAAGAAGCTTAGTCTAATAATCTATAAGAAACTTAGCACTATAATTATTAAGGATCTTAGTAAGGATCTTAGTAAGGATCTTAGTAAGAAAACTAGTAGAATATATAGTAGAACTCTCCGTAGAGAGAGATAGCTAGTAAAGTTAGTTAGCGAGATACTACCTTACTTTAGGGGGTAGACTAGTAAGTGGTCCTACCCTCCCTAAAAACTACGATTATATAGTAAATACCTAAAATTATATAGTAAATACCTAAGATCTATAAACCCCGAGCCCCGCTAGGTATATTTCCGGATAAACCTCTTCCTCCGCTCCCTATTATACCGCCGTAAGAACCCTATATATAAGATCACTATACTACCCCTAGTTAGGGGGTAGATATACTAGGGGATCTAGAGGATCTAATTAGCGACTAAGCTTAGAATAATAAAGCTATTCCTACTATAGAAGATAAGCTAGAAAATAAGCTAGAAAGATAACTATAGGCGGAACTTCTCGCCCTAAGTAGATAAATTATAGGAGATATTAATACTAGTAATATTATTAGTAGAAAGCGAAGGCGTTAAACTAGGTAAGATAAAGACTATATCTATATAATAATTATAGGAGCTATAGACGAAAAGGAAGACCCTCCTATACTACTATATACTTTCGCTATAGGTCTATATACTAAGAAGCCTAAAATTAGACGTTATTAAGATAATCTCCCCTTAGTCCTAAAACACTATAAAGATATTATAAACTATCTATTTTAGGAAGGTTTTCTTATAGTAATAAGAAAGGAGATTAACTCTCTAATAGAAAAGGAAACCTATAAGATTATAGAGAGACTAAAGGATAGAGGTAAGTAAATACTACTTCTTATATAGGTATTTACCTATAAATATAATTAGGATAGTTATCTAGTTAAATTTAAAGCTCGTATATATATACGGGGAGATCTAGAGACTATTTCGTATAAAGAAAAGAGAGCTACTATACTAGTAGTAAGGACTATAAGGATAATCTTTACCCTTATTATCGTATTTAATCTCGATCTAAGATAGCGGGATACTATTACTACCTTTTTAAATAGTACGCTAAAAAAAGAGGTCTATATCTAGATACCTAATAGGTTTAGACTACCCGGTAAATACTAGAAACTCCGCTATATACTATATAGTCTATAGATCTTACCTAGACTTTAGTAATAGGAAGTAGCTAGTATATTTCGTAAGCTAGGACTATAATAAGCCTTAGAAGACCTTTATATCTTTATTAGAAATAGACTAATAGTCTTTTTCTATATTAATAATATCCTAATTACCTACTATAATAGTAAGGAGGTATAAGAAAGGGCTATATAGCTAGAACGAGATCTAGAAACTTACTAGGAACTAACTAATTATAAAGAGGTAGTATAGTTTCTTAATATCTATATTATTAGAGATAGGTAGTAAAAGAAGCTATAGTTTTATTAAGATAGCTATATAGTAAGTATTACTATATAATATAATCTTATAGATAGACTAGCGGTATATACCCTAATATCTATCGAAGAGCTAACTCTATATTAGGATATAGCTATAGCCTAAGAGATCCTATTATACTAAAAGAAGGTAGGATCTATTAGATATACTACTACGATTATAAGACTAGATACTATAAAATCGACTACTTATCTAATATAATACTTAATAAACCTAGGCCCCTAGTACTATTAGATAGCTAATAGAGTTATTACCTACCTTAATTCTACCCGCTATCTCGCTATTAAATATAGTATAGAATTAGGTATAGAAAGGGACTCTATATAATTCGCTAGTAATACTTTATATAGGGATTATCCCGATAGAAAGAGCTCCGCTAGCTATATCTACTAGGTGTATAGCGGACTAATCGACTAGAAAGCTAGTAAGTAGCCTATAGTTACTACCTCTACTACTAAAGCTAAGCTCCTCGGTCTCTTAGAGACTATAAAATAGCTATAATAGTGGCGTAGACTTCTTAATACCCTTAGTTTTATCCCTTCCTATTAACTAAGTATTAATTACGATAATTAGCGCACTATTAGTCTTCTAACTAGCGAGGATACGGCGTTCGAGACGAAATTACGATATATTAATATTTATCGGTACTAGCTTAGATAGGAAGTTAGGGAAGGAAGAATCAAGGTGAAATAGGTGCCGATAGCTAGCATAGCTATAGATAGACTTATAAAGTTACTCACTAGGCAAAAGCATAAAGCTTTCCTTAAAATGTTAAGGATAACCGATATAAGCTATCTAATAGTAGGGGTCGTCTAATCAGTAAGGGAAGAGAAATAGTATACCGACTAAGCGTAGGAAGCAGCTAGACTATACTGGCCTAGCTAAGGGGGTGTGTCGGAGTATAAGATCGGCATACCGGAAGTTTAGTTTATCCTATCCACGCAGTATTTTTGATGTTAGTCAGATAGTCATATTTCCTGCTAGAATAGTGGATATAGAAATACAGAGATTTCAACTCCCTTGATTGGACCCCTACGATACTGAATACCACGTCAGTTGACACCGCCGTCTTGCCTAATTTTACAGGCCAAAAGTAACGGAGAATTCGTTGATCCGAACATTTCTTGGCGAGAGTTAGTACCGGCACACGGCGCTAAACCTTTTATGTTTTCCTTCCACCTGGCCACTATTCTGATATCCCTTGTGATATTAAACATGCTTTTTATTTATTCCATACACGATTACATAACCCTTCTCCTATACAAAGCTCCTCCATCACCGTCGCTTAATTTTATGAAGCTATTCCCACCACCATCATGATCCATCGTACACACCATCAATCACTGTGCCGGATCAACTACCAAACCACCTGCCAAACCACCTGCCAAATCCATCTTTGTTACTAGCGGTAGCAGTGATTTCGATTGTTTGGAAAGGGGGTGTGGTATCCGGCAGGGGATCTGGGGGTTGATTTGGCAGTTGATTTGGCAGTTGATTTGGCAGTTGATTTGGCAGTTGATTTGGCAGTTGATTTGGCATAGTGGTTGATGGTGTGTACGATGGATGATGATGGTGGTGGGAATAGCTTAATAAAATTAAGCGACGGCGATGCAGGGCTAGGTAGGTGGAAGGAAGGCATAAAAGGGTTTAACGCTGTGTGCCGGTAGTAAAAACCGTGTGCCAGTAGTAACTCTCTTCTTGGCGCAGTAACTACCGAAGTCACATAGAAAGTTTCTATTCAATCCTTCTTCTCGTTGTGATCCAATACTATATTTTGATACAATTATAGGAAGGAAATTTAATATGTTGCGCCCTTTCCTGATGCCTCATGCAGCATATAGCCGAGAGTAATTCACGCACGAAATCAACACAATTGCATGGAGGCCTATCGTCTGTACCACATACGCGTAGTCTGAGTTGTCCTTATCTTTTTCTGAATGCGGAAGATCCCGTAAATCAAAGCTTCAGAAGTCGGTGGACCTTAACCATCATTGAATAGTCAGTTATTTATCACCAACAAGATATGCAAAGCGGATCTAGTAACTCACATCCGGGAACATAGACATCTACAGGCACTATCCGATCACAGCCTCTAACGACAGAGTAGCTGTAATGATAGTAACCACCGCCATTTGCGCAACTTCCCATACTGATGACATATCTTGGCTCAGGCATCTGGTCGTAGACCTGCCGAAGTGCAGGTGCCATTTTGTTGGTTACCGTGCCCGCGACAATCATCAAGTCCGACTGTCTTGGCGAAGCTCGAAATAAAAGACCTAAGCGATCAACATCATATCGGGGACCAGCCATGTGCATCATCTCCACTGCGCAGCAGGCAAGGCCGAAGGTCATCGGGTATAGGGAGCTCTGTCGGGCCCAATTCGCAACTTGATCGAGGGTTGTCCTAGGTATCACATACTTGTCAGCTCCTGCAGCAATGAGATCGCTCTGGGGTCACAAACAGCGCATATTGTGCCGCACCAGATGGGACAGCCTCGCTGGGTAGGGCGACCTCCGTTCGAGGTTTCCCACTAGCAGTCAGGGAATGCTGTGACCTTTGAAACTGCAATGCAATTTGTCTCGCCCTATGTGACCGGTACAAAAGCCATTGTTGGCCTTGTAAATCATGGCCTGGTTAGTCTTTGCCCCGACGACTTTGCTAGTCAAATAACGTACAGTTTTGAGCAGTAGCTATCATTGCGCTAGGCCGAGCGGACATAAATAACGACGGTGCCATGTCAAGAGGAGTTGGACTTTCAATGCTGAGACACTGATGTGATGACTTCAAATGAACCTGAAAAATCCAGATGGTCTATTCATGTCTCGCTTGTCGACCCGGTGATTGATAGATCTAGATTAAGGTTCTAGATTGAGTATTTCTTACGAATACACGGCAAATACAGCGATACACCCGCCATTTAACATCTTCTTTAGGCAATAGTTACGAGATTTACCGCTAGTAATAATAGAACCAGCCAAAGAGAACACCCCAATAAGCAGGCTCGGCTCGTAAGAGAAGCTTTTGATGTAGTTAACTAGGACAAAACCAAGGTTCACCAACATCAGGTCTTAACGCCATTCGCCTCCCACAAAACTCTATATTTGCCTAATCATAGGTGTTGAATCTACTGCTAGCGTGATATAAATATAAGGATGGACGAAAAATCATGATATCAACTTTTTGCAGCAAAGAAGGAAGAAAAAGAGTGTACGGGAGCTGGTAAATACCTTATCCCGAAGACAGAACCGTCAATGGACCAAGAACTTGTAGAGTATCGAAATCGAGAAGATCCCCGAGAAAGGCAAAGAGCTGCCTCAACTACGGCCAAGTCTCGCTAAGGAGCCCGTGTCTTATCCCTGCGTCTACTTTTATCTACTTGACACTTGTATTTCCTATAAAGGTTAGACGTCAGCCGACTTTTTTCAGCCTTTACAAGCCTTGGCACTCGAAATGCATCGAAATGCAGACGTGCATACCGGATAAAAACCGGGTATTGTACCCGGAAAAACATGTGACACTGGATATCCAGTGTCCTCACAAAAGTGCACTTTTTATATTGGTGATCTTGATCCGCACAGGTTGTGAAAAGAGCGGATTTTGTCATTTGAGTTAATCACAGTTATACCCATTTTTGAGTCGTACGATACATTTCAAATCCGTCAACTTCTGTCAAATGTAACCCTGTGGGTACTGGCCAATCAACAGCTAATTTCTCCTGCATGACCCGCAGGATTGCGGGTCAGGGCCTGCAAGCTACAGCTCACCCCCGTTGCTCTACCCAATGACACTCGACTGGACCTATTTGTGCTCCTCAATAACTGTGTACCGAGGGAGTGCCACGGGAAAACGTGCTGAGGCAGCATGAACACATGACCATTGCTGCTCCGGCTGGGTTCCCTGTTAGGGAAAGTTTATGCACATTTCAAACATCACTAATAACGGTCCAATGAACTTCACTAGCACATCGGCTTGTTTTGCTCAATTTTCTGCTAACAGACGGGTCTTGGGAAGTCCAATTTGTTTATAAAGCTCATCAATCCACTACAAATCAGTCTACAGCAAGCAACTCTCAACAAGCAACCCTCAATCCTCCACCAAAATGTTTGGGAAACTCTCTTCAGCAGCCCTGCTGGCACTCAGCCTCACAGCCCAGGCCACCCAAATCTTCAGCAACACAGGCACAACATCTGGCTGGGACTCCACCAATAAAGAACACTCCGGCACTGTGCAACAAGTGACGAACGTCGTCTATGAAGGCCCAACCGCCCTGAAAATGACCCAAATCTACGATTCAAGCTACACAGGTCGCTACCACTCGGAAGTGGTCAAGAAGAATGTCTACAAACGTGGCGACACAGGCTTCTACGGCTTCACCTTCCGCCTTCAAGAAAACTGGCAATTCTCCCCAGCCCAATCTTACAACATCGCCCAATTCATCGCCGATTTCAGCGATACCGGCTGCGACAATTATATGCCCTCCAGTATGGTTTGGCTTGTCGGTGACCAGCTCTACACCCGCGTCAAGCAGGGTAGTATCTGCTCACAGAAGACTGTGACTTTCCCCAGCCTGGCAACTATCACTGCGGGCGTCTGGCATAAGATCGTGATTCAGGCTACTTGGAAGTCCGACGGTACTGGTCAATATAAATTGTGGTTGGACGGAACCAAGCTGTTGGATAAGAGGGACATCGCAACTACCATTGATGACGATCGGGCTTTCCAGTTCCGCGTTGGTCTTTATGCTAATGGCTGGTATGATGATAAGGGAATGAAGGGCACTCAGGGTACTAGGCAGATTTGGTATGATGAGATTGCTGCTGGGACTGTGTTTGCCGATGCGGATCCTGATCAGTGGTGATTGACTCATGTGGGTAATAGAGAGTGAACTCTGTCCCCTTTTTTGTTGATCTTGTCCATTGGAACCTGCTGTGTTCAAGGACCGGTGAAAATGGGATCATTCTTTTTTATTATTCCAGATGAAATCATGTCAATTCGCATCCCAGTGTAATGGGAAAAGACCCAAATCCTACCAGTTCATTTACTTAGATATTGGACTCAGATAAATAGCCCAACCAACCCGAGAACATCACCTACCAAGATATTCAGATAGAAAATAGTGGTATTGAGGGCATTTAGGCGAATGGACAGAGCAGCGCTAGTTCCTAAATTAGCAATCTTTGGCACATGTGGGAAATGCAAGCCGCCTACGGCTGAAGTGCTAGGTAACTATAGATCTAGTATAAGGCACCTCCGAGTGGTATCAGTGCATGTAGTGTCAACTATGTCCACAGTTACACTTTAACCTTCAACTTGAAGTTGGTGATCAAAATATAAAAAAATAGATCGATTTTCAATCGGAGGAACCCTTGAAGAAAGAAAAAAAAAGATCAAACCATGCCACTGACAAAATTCCGATCAGATAGTAATTCTGCTTCTTGAAATGTTACATTTCCGCCCTTTATCAGCACTCCGAATCGCTTTCGGCTTCCTCATCAGAGACGCTGGGAATGCCTTGTATTTCCGCTTTCCTCTTAAAGGTTTCAACTGCATTTCCACTGAGTTGTACCTTGAAACGCCTCAGAAATGCCTGAATTCTTTTCACCGTACATCTTTCCACAACGAGCTCCACAACCCTTTCCGTGCAGCAAATTTCAGCATCCACAAAGAGGCACAGACCGATCAAATTGTCAAAATAAAGGTCAAAAATTGGAAAGTCCAGCAGGGTTCTTGTCAAAAACTCCGTTGTGTGGTCAGGTTCTTTCAACACAGCGTCAATAGCATCCAAGATACCACCATGCCAGTCTAATTGCTTTTGAAAAAGGCTTTCAAAAAGAGACTGAAGATCCACATCATTGTGCCTCTGTAGAAAATCAGCCAACACGGATCGAGTATAGCCCCTTTTATAAATTACCGCTTTCTCTTCTCTATTCTGTTTACGATCTAAGGGGGTTGACCCACGGAACTTATTATGCGGCTACTTAGATAGTTCGATCCTCTAAATTTATGGTACTGTCTTAGAATGTATGAAAACGGAGTACTTCTTATATATCGCGGTATACGGCTAATAATAATCAATCTCTGAATCCTTTAGATTCGGTCTAGTACTCCGTATTCTGTATCTTGTACGGAAAGAGGTCTGGGCGAACTCCTGGTGGTTGGTTCGCTATTCCACCTACAATCGAGAGTTAACTCTTATACTTGACTTGAAGGGGGGTTGTATAATATAGTCCGCCTAAAAAATCGGAGATTATATAGGATGACTACGGTAAACACCGCTATGCCGCCACTCGAAGTTAGGATCGGTATCCTCTATTAGTATATCGTACTTAGCACGTATTCGCCGATCCACGTAAGCGGCCCGAGAGTAGTGAACCTAAAGAAAAAAAAAAGTAAAAGTCTGGGGAGTACTAGTTATATGGATCGAGATGCTCTTGTTTTTTTCCCTCTATTTTTCCCCTTTGGCTTTTTAAAACACACTTCGACCAGTCCTTAACCTAGATATACGTACCGCGTGGATCTTATCTTAAAGTATGTAGAGAGGCCTTTAAGTTTTCTAATTACTATGTCTACCCTTAAGGCTAGCCTAGGCCTATTAGCCGATGAGCGGTACCTATAGTCGCTTATATATAGGCTAATCATTAGTATAGCCGTCCTATTAATGATTGTTTGTAGCTTAAGAGTAAGATTCTCCCTATATATCCTGTTAAACGCGAAACGGCGGATAAGTATTATATATAAGCTGATTTTTCCTATAGCTTTATATACGAGTATTTATAGTAAAGGTATTTAGATTAGATGATATTACTATCTATATTGCTTTAGTTTGTCTTAGTCTAATATTAAATTCTATTTATAGAAATCTATAAAGATTAATAAGTTTTGCTTAATAGGTTATTATATAGGTCTTTAATGGGATAGTAATTACGGTTATCTATTATAGAGAAGGGTAATACTTTAGAAATATATCTCCTAAAGATCGAGCAATCTAGCTTAAGGTATGATTAAAAATAGGTCCCCTATTATACTAACTTACCGAACCTATTGCCGAGAGCTAACTACTAAATAGCTATATTATATAGCGATATATATATATCTCTACGTCTCTCTATTAGTTAAGCTTAGCTTACTAATATTTCTACGACGGATCTTCGTGAAACGTATATTTTTTTCGCCTATATTCTAAGATACCCCGATTAGATCTTAATAATAGATACTAACCTCTAGCTACCTCGCTATTAGCCTAGATAAATTAGCTTACTACGTCTATAATAGCTTTTTAGGTTCTATTCTCGATATCCGGCTCTTTTATTCTAGCTTTCTAATACGATCCTCTAAGGTACATATATAAGGACTCTTACCTATAGAACTATCTATAAATATCTATTAACCTATAGTAGGGCTACCTATAACTTATCTATTAAGGATAGGAAATATTACTCTTAGTTTAAGGTATTTTAAATCATACTTTACTAGGCTATCCTTATCTTCGTATTAGATATAATTATCTTAGTTACGCTAATAGTGATTCTATATAGACTAAATATACTAACGAGGAAAATCGTTACCTTAAAAGCAATTTTTAGATTAGGTAAGTGTATAGTACATAGTATCTAGGATTTAAATCTTACTTATTTTACTCCTTTTACTTATTATACTCCTAGGTATAATTACTTATATCTCCCCGGTCGTCCGCTTTAGTATATTAGGCTATCTACGCGAAGACACTATAGATCTTACCTATAAGAACCCGCTAGTTCGAACTCTCTAATATTTAGTTAATGCCTAGGCCATACTAACTAATCATCATAGACGACTTAGCATCATCCCTCTACTAGATGGTTATTAAGTTTAATCTAGGCCTCGTTACCGGCTCTCTCTTATCGCTACGCCTATTGCTATTTTTCCGCCGATTCGGGTCGACGATAAACTCGCGATATAAAGTATTAACCGGTGATATAGCACACGAGCTTCGAAATGTGTCTAGGAACGAGACCAGAAGTGGCAGGAAAAAGAATATCAGTATGGGAATGGGGACGACAATAATATAGGATAGCGCTAACGAGAGTCAAGAGCGTATCATCCATATGGCGAAGTCAGACTATGGCCGGCCACAGACCTAAGTTACTGTCGAATTATATTTCATTCCTAATTCCAATGAAAGTGTTGTTCGGGGAAAGTTTTGATGGAATTGTGTTATTCCCTTTGAAACCAGATACCTTGCGCTTTGCTTGGACCTACTCAATGGTATATTAAACGCCCGAGCCCTTGGGTTGTACATACTATAGTGACTAAAGCTTAGCAGGCTTATTCAATATATATTATTTACATCTTTCCCAGTTAAGCTAGGACCTGACTGAGGGGAGTCTGACTGATGTCCGAAACCCATTGTGTCGATTTTGTTAGGCACTTCAATAATTCAGGAATATTATCATCTCGAGTACGCATTGGCTTAGGGCGTATAATTCCAGAGGGTGTTCCCCTACTAAATATTGGCGGGGTGGCAGGGATGCTCGAGAATTCAACACCAAGTGGCGAAATAGAGACCTAAGTAGATTGTGATGGCATAGTGGCCAGGGTTTACTTTCGGCTTTAACGCAATGCATTGCGGCCTTAGTGCCTTAACTTGGCCTTAATCCTAACCGCTTTTAGATACTAGTATGTACGATACAGTGTATTGTAAAGCTTTCGGCGCGGAATAACTAGCACGTCGGATCAACCCTTTTTTAACTAACTCGACAAGTCACAACTTTTTTACCACCTCACTCCATCAAGATAAGGTGATTATAAAGCAAGTAATATTGGTGGAAGGATCAACTAATATGTTGGTAGTACAGAAGAAGCGTACTTGATCGCCTATTCCAACTATGCGTCGGTAGAGCTAGCGAGCATGTAGAACTTGATTAGTTTTATATCATAGAGATCATTTGTTTTTAGTCTAGATTATACTACAAAAACTGCTTTTGAAAAATATATAACTCTCTTATAGTTGAAATTTCTTAATACTAATAAAGACATAGAGTATAAAAGTAACTTTCAAACTAGGATAGTGTTTAATAATAGTATACTTTCCAAGTAACTAATAACTTTTTAAGAGGTTTCTAAAATTTACCTATTAAAGTGATTCTCTCCTAGCAGCAGATAACTTCCCAGCAGCACTATATCGTCTACCAATATAAAATTGATATCAATGGACGGGGTGAGGAGCTACAATTAACTTGCAACTATCTAAATGGCTGAAGCCCAAGGCGTTGTAGTGTAGTTTAAAAAAATTCAGATTTGCACAGAAGTTGTTTCTTCTGTTAAAAAACCTGCAGGTCCTATGGAGAGAGCACGGAAGATTATCTGACATCAGGATGAGTCGTTCACCAGGTAGACCTCAATTCTGACGATGGCCTTCCTTCATCCCTTAAATTATGTTGCTTTCAACTAGATACGTCTCTATTCTCCATACCCGATACGAATATAACCTCGTCTCAACATGCAACCTGCAGACAAGCGGACTCAATCAAAAATTGATTTAATTTTCCCTGAAGAGAAAACTCAAGATGAAATCAAGCTCGAACAGAGTGGAGATATTGATGCTCTTCAACGGTATCGGCGAAAGGTGGCTCATCAAAGAAAACCTTGCTATACTGATCGAGCGGTCGACCTTCTCCGGATAGAAGAAGACCTCCGAAGTACTATCCAGGAAGAGCAAATCCTCGCTAGGAAGCCCGATACCACGTATAGCTGGCTAATTTATCGGAATGATAAACAGGCTAAGCTCCAGGCTTTAAATAAGAGATATTGGTTGCTGGAACGACAGTGGTGGAAAATCCGGAGCTCATTCGTGGAGGGACCGCTAATACGAGCATTTGACCTATGGCGATCACATCCTCTATGGTATATGCACCGAGTTTTGGTTGAGGATTGCTTGAGGAGGGGAGGGTGCTGTAGCCGTAGCTGTGGATGTTGCGTTGATCGTAAGATTGACAAGACACGACAGCTTGGAGCTGGACATTGTACGGTGGCATGTGGATGTTGTCACCAAGCTCGGGGGTTTGAGCTTACTAAAAAAGAAAAGACGGAATTCCTTACGGATTTTCATATCCTGGGGGACGGTAGTCATTACCGCCTGAGGATCAATCGAGTTTCAATATGGGGATTATCTTTTGATTGTCACGATAGCCCTTTTGATATGATTGTAATACCCCCAGGATATGAGAAGATTGTTTCAAAAGAGCAGATGGCAAAAGGCAAGGCTGGACAAGTCGAGGAGTTTATTCTTATTGACGAAGAGAAGGAGGAAGTTGGAGCGTCAGGCTAGGTGTCTGCTGGATATCTAGAGTTGCTTGTGTAATGTGACTTTTGCTTTTGTCTTCGACAGTTTAATTTCAATACTATTCCTTCCTATTTAAGAACATTCGTGCCTGCCATTGTAGTTCACGTCGATGACCTTGCTACCTTCCGACCTGCTGTAGCGTAGACTTTTTGATTCTGTCAAAAACATCCCCAAAACTGAATTGAAACAAGGACAAAATATCAAGAATTATCATGGTGAGTCTCATCAGCACTCTTTCCAATAGTCCGTTCAAAGGTATCTTATGATGCTCGAGTTTCTCAAGTCTGATGCGGTAAACTGTGGGGTCTGTTCGCGGGGGAGGTGGGATTCCTAAATTGGTCATTTTCCGAGAGTATTGACCCGCAACTTTGCGTTGTGTCGTTTGTACTTATAAAACTTGAGTGCTCAGTGACTGGATTCTTGTCTTTCCCTTTATTATAGAATTCTCATTTGCAAATTCAGTTTAAACTCCGGAACACGCAACTTCTGATTGATCACAGCCCAATTTAGTCTCGAAAATGAGCTCTGTGCTTGGAGCATGGGAATCTCATCCTCCCGTTTCTCTCCATTTACAGAAAAACACATCAATGAAAATGTCACGGTCAATTTCCGAGGCACTTCCATCACCTGGGTTATCACAGTCACAATCCCGTACATCCACGCCAGTCCCTCAAACGAACCGCCGATCGATCCAGAGAGAAGCCGCCGATATTGCAAATCCGACCGTCGAGCAATCACAAAACAACTGGAAAAGCAAACGGAGAATCATAAGCGCCTGTTTGATGAGTTTTGGAAATGGGGTCAACGATAGTACTCCAGGTGCCGTCATTCCGTACATGGAGACAGGTTACAAGATCGGATATGCTGTTGTCTCTCTTATTTTTGTGGCCAATGCCGTGGGATTTATTCTAGCAGCTCCGGTTACCCATGTCTTGGAGAGAAAAATCAGCCACTCAAAGAGTTATGCTGCTGCCATGTCATGCTTGGTGATCGGGTATGCTATCGTTGTTTCTGAGCCTCCGTTTCCTGTTGTCGTGATCACCTTCCTTTTGTACGGGTTTGGCCTTGCAGTGAACTTGGCTCTTACCAATGCATTCTGTGCCACTCTACCCAATGCGACTGTTTCGCTGGGCTATTTACATGGTGCTTATGGGATTGGCGGAACCGTGGCCCCCATCATGGCGACGAGCATGGCCTCTAACGGAATTAGTTGGTCCTTGTTCTATACCATTCCTTTAGCCATTGCCGTACTCAATATGACCCTAGCGCTATGGGCCTTCTCTCACTCTGAAGAGGAAAAACCATCTGAATCCGAAAGAACCTTATTCCAGTCTGCTTCTGGTGCGATGTCTCGCACGCAAGTTCTGAAAAAGGCCATACAAAATCGTACCACGCTCCTCGGTGCGTTGTTCATTTTTGTTTACCAAGGCGCCGAAGTCTCCGTTTCTGGCTGGCTGGTATCCTTTCTCATCAGCTATCGCCATGGCGATCCCTCCCGCGTTGGATACGTTAGTGCTGGCTTCTGGGCGGGAATTACAGTCGGCCGACTTTTTCTCACCTACCCGGCAACCAAATTGGGCGAGAAGACCTCGGTTGTCTTGATGATTTTGGGCGCTATATTGTTTCAGCTTTTGATTTGGCTTATTCCTAACCTCATTGGGGAGTTCTATATATAGATTATAAAGTACTATATTAATAGCCGAAAGAGATCGGATCTTAGACTTTTATTAGATATAGAGATATAAGGGTATCTATTTATAGGATCCGCTTAGGTTTATCTTATCTATATAATATAGATAAGATTCTATATCTCTATACTATATATAATATAGAAAATTCTATAGATAGAGCTTATAGAATAGATAAAGCTATTATTATAACTAAGAAAAAAAGGGAAGAGCGTTAGATATATAATAGTAAAGATATATATAATATTATTAGTAGAAAGTAGAAAGTCCTAAATAATAATAATTAGGAAATATCTTCTTTATTATTAATAGATCTATATGAAGGTCTACTATATCCTAATATAAGATATCTTATTAAATAGAAAGATAGTAATATTATTTTAAAGGGTTAGACCTTTATATATTATATTATATATAGTCTAGCTTTATAAGGTAATAAAAATATTTATTAGAAAGCCGAAGAACTTAAAGAATATTATAAGAATATTAATGTTAGGACCGGTGTGCTGGCGGGTCCTGGCAGATAATAAAGAACTAGAGTGAAGGAATAGTAGGGTGCTGGTATATTCATAAACTAATCGCTAAAGAGCTAAGTTCCCCTAGCAGTCTCTGCATGGATGACCTTTGGCGGGTCACGGGACTAGGTCACCTGACCCGGCAGGACTCAGTCTTCCTAGTGCAGTCTCTGGCGGGGGGTCATGCTACCCCTACTGGGTCACGGGTTCTAGGTTATAGGACTAGGCGGGATCCAGCCTATGAGGCACTCTCCTAGTAGAAGGTCGTAATATTTTCCCCCTCCTTAAAGAGCTGCGTCCTCGTAGCTAAGGGTCGGGGGTTAAGGGTCTCTTATAGTTAAGGTAGGGAGGGTTCGAAAATTAGACTTCCGCACGCACCGGAATTAGGTCGAATATCCCGACCCGGCACCGGACCTAGGTTAGGTCCGGTGCCGAACCCCCGACCCGGGCCTATACCGGACCTAATGTTAGGTTCACCGGATAACCTAATAAAAACCTAATTAGACCTAACTTTTGTATAATTCTCTATATAAAGTGCCTTACTTATCTAAATTGACTACTATAATTTTTCCTTATTTTAGTTATATTAAGAAAGACTTTAATATTTAGTAGTATAGTAAGTTAAACTTAATAAAATATCCTTATTTATTAGTATTTAAGGTCTAATAATATATTAATTACTTAATAGAATATAAAATTTCTTATAAAATAATACTATAATTAATAGGGTTAGAAAACTTATATATTTAAGTAGTAGAAATATATATTTATAATATATAGTTTTAGTATAGTCTTTCTAATACTAAAGAAATAATTAGAATAATAGTAAATTAGTCTAATTTTATAAATCTTCTTTATTAGAGAGTAGTTTCTAGTGAAAATAAATATTATTAGTACCTAGATATTATTATATTTACTTAATAATCCCTTAATTCTAAAGTATTTAGTTAAGACTAAGTATTTAGAGTAAAAAATTCTTAAGTGATTTTCTAAATTAATATAGGAATTAGATTTTTATTAGGTTTTTACTAGGTTTTCGCTAGATTTCTTAGATTTTTACTAGATTTTCTAGGTTTTTACTAGATTTTTACTAGATTTTTACTAGATTTTTATTAGATTTTTATTAGGTTTTATATAAGGGCCTATTTACTTTATACTCTATAAACCTATAAGCTAATTAATATAAAGCTAATATCTTAGTTTATTTAATCTATTACTCTTAATCTCTACTTACTATTCTTAATGTTATAACCCTCTGCTAGGAGAGTGCCTTATAGGCTAGATCCCGCCTAGTCCTATGACCTAGAACCCGTGACCTAGTAGGGGTAGCATAACCCCCCGCTAGAGACCGCACTAGGGAGACTAAGTCCTACCGGGTCAGGTGACCTAGTCCCGTGACCCGCTAAAGGTTATCTATATAGAGACTGCTAGGGGAACTTAGCTCTTTAGCGATTAGTTTATAAATATACTAGCACCCTACTATTCCTTCACTCTAGTTCTATATTACCTACTAGGACCCGCTAGCACGCCGATCCTAACATTCTAATCGCTAAATCTTAATTAAACTAGACCGTTAGAATACGTAATAGCGATAACTCGACGTATAAGCGACCGCCTAAGGGGAACCTTAGCCCCGATCGCGGAAACGAACGACGTCCCGGGACCCCTATAACCCCTACTAGAAGAGGTAGAGATATAGGGAGTCGACGATAACCCTTAGGGAGGAAACCCGCCGGATCTAATAACCCCGACCGAGGTAGACGAGGAGGCGGAACTCTGAGAGTTAGAGACCCTTAAAAGACGTCTAGCTCTAGTAAAGGAGAAAAATAGGATCCGCGCGGAGCTATAGGACGAAGAGGAAAACGTAGTAATCCTATAGGCGAGAATATAAGGATCTAGGATTTATTAGGGTTCGCTAGGTAGTACTACTAGCTAAACTACTTACTAACTACCTAATACTACCTATACGAACTCGATTATATTATAAGAAAGTACCGGAGGCTACCTATCCTATTAGAAGGAAGTAAGGGAACTATATATACCCTATAATATAATAACGTATAAAGCCGAGAGTTCGGGCGAATATAATCTCTTTAAGTCGAACTAAGAAACCTTCTAGAATAGATACCCCGACTAGTTCGTTAGTAATATACGTAAGGTAGACTAAGTAACTAAGTTCCTAGCGCCGAAGGTTAATATAATATAGATAGAATACTATAGGAATAACCTAGGTATAATATTTATTTAGTTAGTCTTCGAAATATAGGCGCTCGCTTAGGTTACCGACCCTATTAAGATATAGTAAGAAGCTAAATATAACTAGTAGTAGATAATATAAGCTAAATATTAAGATATATATTAATACGCCTTAAAGCTTACCGGACTCTATAACCGCCTAAAAGATATACCGACTAGATAGATAAGAATCGACTATTTAGAGACGGATATCGTTAAGAAGGTACGAGACGAAGTAAAGAGGTTTATAGCCCCCGCTATAGATTAATAGGATAACTAGGTAGTCTTCTATAATTAAATTAAAAAAGTAATACTAGGTAGGATATTATATCTTAGGGAGGCTAAGAAGATAGCGCTAAGAAATACTATAGACTTATAAGGATCTAGTAGAAGACCCTTTAAGGGAAATAGCGCCTTCCCTATATAGTAAGCTATAACTACTATAGAGGGTAGAAAAGCTACCGTAAGATCTAAACGAGACTAGAGCGGAGATAGTAAATTCTATAACTTCTATAATAAGCTAGGCTACTATACGAAGGACTACCGTAAGAAAGCTATAGTAAACGCTATAGCCGCGGAAGAGTTAAAAAAATAGATAACCCTATACTATAGACTCCTATAATATTAGGGATAATTCTCTTTAGAGAACGTAAGAGAGTATACTAAGTACTCGTCTATAACGTACTAATATTAGACGTTAAGACTAAAGCCCTAATAGAGGTAGCTAAGACGCTAATAGATAGTAGCGTAATCTAAAGCTTTATAAGCTAGAAATAGATAAAAGAGAACCTAAAAGAGATATATATAATAAGTATCTACCTAGTAGAAGCTATAGATAGGCGTAAGATCTCTTTATATAGAAGCCGAGAAGTATAGCTTAGTCTAATAGACTAGAATAGAACCTATAGAGTTATTAAAATAACCTATAAAGCTATAGATATAATAATCTATAATATAATCCTAGAAATAGATTAGCTTAGACTAGTAAATCCGGATATTAACTAAGTAACTAGTAAGTAGGCGTATAGAAATATAGCCCCGTTAGAGGTTAAAACTCTCCCGCTAGAAGACTTTAAGGAAGAAGTAAGACTATAAGGCATACTTAGAGAGCTATACTTAGATATCGATAAGGTTACCGGGGAGTTTATAGTAATACTAAGGGTAATATAAAGCTCGGATAGGACCTCCTATCTAGTATAACCCCTAACTAAACTCCCGCTAGAATACTAAGATCTAGTTATCGTAGCGAGTAAAGAAAGTACTATAGCCCTTCTAACCTATATAGAATATAATTATATAATCGAGCTAATACTAGGTAAGATACCCCCTTAGAGGCTAATATATATACTATCCGCTAAAGAGTTAGAAGTCCTCCGCTAGTATATTAAGGAGAACCTCGAAAAAGGCTAGATCTAACACTTAAAGAGTTAATTAGGTATATCTATTCTTTTTATACCGAAGAAAGACGGTAAGCTTAGACTCTACGTAGACTATAGAGGGTTAAACGCGATTACTATTAAGAACCGCTACCCTCTACCGCTAATTAATAAGTCTCTAGTAAGATTATTAGGAGTATAGATCTATACTAAACTAGATCTATAAGATACCTACTATAGGATCTATATAAAATAAAGAGATAAGTAGAAAATAGCGTTTAGATACCGCTATAGATATTTTAAATATATAGTAATACTATTTAGACTCGCGAATACTCCCGCTACCTTCTAGGCGTATATTAATAGAGCCTTAGTAGGACTTATTAACGTCTATCTAATAGTATATCTTAATAATATACTAATCTTCTCGAAGGATAAAGAGACCTATATATACTACGTCCGAGAAGTATTAGAACGCCTAATTAAGTAGAGGTTATTTATTAAACCTAGTAAGTATATATTCTATATAGAGAGGGTTAACTTCTTAGGCTTTATCGTCTCCCGTTATAGAGTTACTATAGACCCTACCTAAGTAGAAACGATAAGCTAGTAACTAAAGCTAACCTATATCTTTAACGTATAGTAGTTTATAGACTTCGCTAACTTCTACTAACGTTTTATTAGGAAATAGTCGATAATTAGCGCCCCCCTTAACGATCTAATTAAGGGGCTAGACGTATAAAAGAAGGGAAGAAATAAGCGCTAAGAAGGGTTCGTCTTTATAGAAGAAGCGCGAGAAGCTTTTAAAAGGACTAAGACCGCTTTCTAGACTACGCCGATATTTGTATACTTCGACGCTATA